CGCGGCTGCCGCCTGCCGGGAGCCGCCCTGGGTCTGGCCGGGCGAGCTCCCGTCTCCTCAGGGCGGCTGGCAGGTGCCCGGCAGCCGCCCCGCCCGCCCGTTAGCCTCCTTCCATGTTGAGGGCTGTGTGGGGTTTGCGTGGCAGGGCGGCCTGGGCCCCGCGTCTGCCATCTCCCCTGGCGCGTTTGGAAAGGCCCACGCGCCACTGAAACGGCTGGAGTTGGCTTCGGAGTAGTGTGAATAAAGGCCAGCCCAGGGCCGCCGGGCGCCTGAGGCAGGCAGCCTGTGCCCAGGACGTGCCTTTCAGTTTTCTGAGATCTTTAATAAAGTTGGATCGTTTTTCTCACGTTCTCCTCTGCCCTTGCTATGACTAACGTGTCACGCGTTACGTTCAAATTGACGAGTTCTTGATCTGTAGTGAAGAGCTTTTTTGTTCTTTGATTTATGTATTTATGCAGACAGAACTGGGGCACAGGCCAGAGGTATGGGGGGGCGAGAGGATCCACCAGAGACAGACTGGGGAGCAGAACAGGCGGGTCCACGGAAACACTCCGCTGAGGGGAGCAGCGGGACACAGGAGGGGCCTGCTGGGCCCTGGGGTCCCTCCTGGGCCGGGGGTGGACTCAGGCTGCGGGGGCTGCAACAGCCCCTGTGCCACCCGGGAGGCTCTGAGGAGCCACCAGAGGCCTTCGTGACCGGCCACGCAGGCGCTCGTCTACTCGGGGCACTGGTCACGCTGTTCCCGCGCTGCCCGGCGGCGAGGCCACGTTCTGAGAGCTCCCAGCCTGCCCGAGCCGCACCTGGCGCAGGTCCAGTGTGCCAGGCCGGCGTCCCCCCACTTGGGGCTGTGCCGTCTTCACACCTGGAGCCTCAGTGCCGGGGAAGGCAGGGAGGCGGCACCCCACTGCGCCCCAGCACAGTGGCACCTCTGCCGGTCCCGTCTCAGGGTCCCACGGGTCCCCGGGCCGGGCTGGGGCCGAGTGGGGGCGAGTCCACGCACCCCTGGGTGTCCCCACCCCTGCGCTGCGCGGGCTCCGTCGGACCGGCCTGTCCTGGCGCCTGTCCTGGGCGTGCGCTCCAGGGCGGCGGGGCTGCACCTCCCTTCCTGTCCTCGGGACTGAGGCTACCTGGTCATTTGCACCAATTACCCGCGAGGCCTGCCCGGGACAGTTTGTGAGTGGACTTCAGACCACATTTAATTTCTTCAGAGCTGGGGCCTCTTCTATGCGCTGCCCGGCTGTCTCCCGCCCCCGTGTGACTGGCTAGTTCAGTGCTCCGTGGCGCCCGTGGATGGCAGAGTGAGCGGCGGCAGCTCTCTGTCTCTATCACTCTCGTGGGCCTCAAGGGATGGGAGCCAGTGTCCCCACTCCAGCTGGGGAGGCCAGCAGGGCCACTCGCGACGGTCAGCCGGCTTAAGGAATCGAGGCTGAGGGTGGGACCAGCGTGGCTCGGGGAGATGGGGTGAAGCTTCTGGGCTGCAGGCCCAGCTAGCAAGACCCAGGCCCTGGGAGGGGCTCCTTGGGTGTCTGAGCCCCACCCCCCGGGCCAGACTGTTGTCCCTTATGCCACCAAGGGCCCCTGGCTCTGGCTGTGTGGGCCTGGCTGCAGCTCAGGGCTGAGGCCTGGGCCGGACAGGTCGTGTCCTCGGGCCTGGGAGCGCGGGGCAATGGCTGTCGGCCGTCAGCTGGGGGTGAGGGGGGACTCAGGGCATCAAGATGCCAACAGCAGGTAACACAGAAACGGGCATAGCGGGTCCTTCCTGAGCCACACGTTCCCGGGGACTCAGCGATGCCTCCTGCAGCACCGGGGTGCTGGGTGGGCCGCCACCTCCCGCCTGCTGCCCTCCGGCCCACCAGGATCCGCAGGGCCCTGGGGGGTAGGCCGAGGGGCGGGGCAGGAAGCGTGGGCTGACTCACTGGGGGTGTGTCCCGGCCACGGCAGGCGAAGGCAGGCTGAACCCCGTGGACAGCTGCTGCCCCTGGGAAGCCGCTGACACCCCACGGGGGCCTGTGCTGAGGAGCTGGGGCCAGCCACCTTGCCCCGCCCGAGAGGAGGTGCGGGAGAGGCCGCGTGTGCAGGACACCGGGCGCACGAGGCCTCTGGGCCACGCGTTCAAGTTTATTTTTATTGTCATATAAAAGTTACAGGTTTGAAATGTCTGTGGGGAGACCCCAGGTCAGCCGGGTTAGTCAGGGCTGCGTATTTCGACATCACGTTGGGGAGCGGGCAGGGAGGGGAGCATCTTGGAATCGGGGCGCAGTGCAGACGTGGCTCGGGCAGGAGGGTCCCCCGCAGGGACCCAGCCGTCCAGGTGGGCAGCAGCCGGGTCTGCCCGAGGGCGGCAGGGAAGCCTGTCAGCCAATAAGTTAACACACACATTGCACGCACAGGCCCGCCCTGGGCTGCGGGCGTGCTGGGCCCTGAGACTGAAAGGCAGCGTGACCTCGGCCTGGTGGGGGCGGGCGCACCCCCGACAGCAGCATTCAGCACAGCTGGGCGGGGTTGAAATGGGAGGACTTCAAAAGCGGAACAAACTAGAACTGAACCCACACGCAATACTGTTAATAAACGAACTACGCGCACACGTTAAATAATAAAGTGACACGTTCCAGCTGGCAGAGGGCGGCAAGTGGCATCCAAGCCTGTCCACCCCTCTGTACAGGACAAAACAGAAAAAAAGCTGATTTTTCCTTGATACGATCCCAAACCCTAGATGTCCCCCAAGGACCCGGGGCGGTTTTTCTTAAAAAAACAAAAACAAAAACAAAAACAAAACCAGAAGGGCGGCCTGGCTCCCCGGTGAACGGGCACCGCCCACGCGCCTCCGTCAGGCCCGCGCGGGGCGGTCGGGCTCGAGCCCACCGGTCGGTCGCCACCTCAGCAGCGGCGCGGTCTTGGGGCTGAGGAAGCGGAGGGGCGGAGGCGCTTAGGGAGCAGCCGCCCGCCCCGCACGGTGGGGAGCACGTAAGGCACCTGGCAAGCTGCAGGCGGCGGGGAGGGGACAGGGAGCCCGCTGGCCACGGGAGGGCTGCTGCCCGCGGAGACCGCTCCTGGCGTCTGACCTCGCGGTTGACGCAGGGCAGGGAGCCCCGCCTGTGCGCGGCAGGTGCAGGCATGAGGCCCGGCCAAGCCCTGGCCAGCGCGAGCCACGCCGTCCTCCACTGCTGAGCAGGCGCGGAGGGGCTCCCCGCTGCCCTGCTGGCCGCCCACCGGCCCGGCCACGTGGACGCCGGCCGCCCTTGTCACTTCAGCAGACTCAGGAGCTTGGGGAGGGGTGCGGCCCCCGGCTCCAGGTGGGGGAGGGGAGACAGTGACGCCCAGACCGGGCGGACCCCCAGCAGCTCTCAGCCCGCCGGCCGACTGGCTGCGCGGCCCGTCCAGCTGAGGCGGGAGGCGGGCAGGGGCCCTCGGCCG